CATATAAGTTAGCTTTTCAGTTGCAAGTCATAATCTATAAGCTATAAGCTCGAAAATCACGTATCAGCTATAAGCTAGTTTTACCAAACTTAGCCATAGCAGTCTATCATTGTAATTTTTATCCTCAACCATCCATGTGGGGTTGACTCTTTGAAGCGAAGTGACTTGGCTAACTTATTTGTTACTATCTGAGGTTTTGGTTAGAAAAGAGAAAAGCTTGGAGAGAATTATATGGAAATGAATTTTAGTTACAAAAGAGGCGGATGTAGGGTATCTGACAACTAACGTCCTCGAAATATTTTTGCTGTTACGGTTGGATGAATTCAGTCAAGTTTTGGGCTTCCAGCTAAGTGATGATGGTGGTGTAGCATTGATGTTCTGGTCTTAGTTTTGACAATTGATGTTTGTTGATGGTGGATGAATAGTCACATTTGAAAAAAGATGACTACTTTTTAGCTTATTCTTTTTGTTTCGTGCATCTTAAAGTATTATGCTTGCATGCTGAAATAATATTGTGTGACAAACAAAATCCATAGCTATTAGCTCAAAATAGGATCTATTTCTCGTTGTAAGGTCTGAATTTGAAATGTTGCAGACAACAATCTTTGGTTTCAGCCAGAATGCACTGGCGGTGGTTCTGATGGCAAAGTGGGCCCAAGTCCTCGGGCTTTTCACGTTGCTGTTGCAATCAATTGTCACATGTTCATATTCGGCGGGAGGTCTGGTAGTAATAGGTATTGCTATAAGATTATTTTTTTTTTGTACTCTTTTCATGTAAATTAATTCAAAGTGCTTGCTTTGATTCATTTATTCATCATAAAGCTTGTGAATTACAGGTTAGGTGATTTCTGGGTGCTAGATACCGGTAAAAAATTCTGATTTCCAAATTTTATTTATCAGTAATGATGGGACATTTTATGTTCTTAGTCGATTACAGTTGCTCACAGATATATGGCAATGGTCTGAACTGACCAGTTTTGGGGACTTGCCTTCTTCAAGGGATTTTGCAGCTGCTTCAGCTGTTGGGAACAGTAAAATCTTGATGTATTTCCTGCTTATTACGTTGTATTTTTTTTTCCCAATTGCTGACTTATTCTCAATTTGATGCAGGTACGGCGGTTGGGATGGTAAAAAGTGGCTGTCAGATGTTTATGTCCTTGATACAAGTAACATTATGTTTCATGTTGCTAGGATTTTTATTTTTATTTTTATTTTTTTGTATGTATTAACCCCGGATATGAGTTTTGAAATATTTTTTCTTCTGTAACAGTTTCACTTGAGTGGACAGAGTTGTCAGTTACGGGGACAATACCTCCACCAAGATGTGGCCATTCTGTTACAATGATTGAGAAGCGTTTGCTCATGTATGGTGGTAGAGGTAATTTTGCATTCTCGGACCGGGGCCTGAAGGATTTCTGTTTATGCTAGCTATTTTCCACATTTGAAAGGAAGTTTCTACATAGGGATGCCACCACCCAATTTGCTCAATTCTGGAATTTCCTTGGTATCCAAAATTGTGTACCTCATTGGCTTTACTGAGATCGACCCAATGCCATAATATTGCTGGTAGTTTAGGCTCCACGTCGGTATAGCTCACCGTGAAATCACCATTTTCTTAAATACCCTTTTACAATTTACCTGAACTTTCTGTATTTTGGGGTATACCCTTCTTTTGATCTAAACTCCCAATTCCCCAGGTAACACCTTTACTTTTGAGAACTACTTATGCACATCATGTGGCAGGAATTTATCTTTAATCTTTTCAAATAAAACTAAAAGAGGTGCATAGATAATTGATTTGGTGAACTTATGTTACTTTTTTCAATTCCTTGTATAACATTCAAAACTTGATCGATTCGTTAGATCGTTCTCATAGTCTTATCTTTTGCAAAACTTGTTGACAATTATCAAGTTTTATTTCTGCATATTTGAACTAGAATACCTAAAAATTGATACATAAATCTTTGTCATGTTTCAGGTGGTGGGGGACCAATCATGGGTGATCTGTGGGCTTTAAAGGGACTTGTAAAAGAAGGTGCCTTGTTGTTTTACTTGTTTGTTTTTACCCACTCATGTCTCGGAACGATTAAAGTACATGTTAGGTTATGTTTATTATATGTCTAGGAACAAATAATGTTTTAACATATTCTTTTAAAGTGTGGAGCTTCTTCTTGATGAAGTACTTGAATGTGTTCCAGTTTCCACTACCTAATTGGATTTAATCTTGCCTTTTTCCTGCACATGATTGAGCTCATTTTCTTAAACCTTTTTGTTGTTACTTGAGTAACAATAATAAGTTGTTTAAGTCATTGAAGGTCTAATTAAATTCCATTTGTTTTAAAAAGCCATTAGAAAGGTGTATGTAAAATAATGACATTTTGTGCTTATTGTCTTCCCATACTTTAGTTGATCAGCTTTGTCTTTTGGGTAATGCTTATTTTCTTTTCACAAGAGTCGTGTAAAAGAATTTGTAGGCAAAATTATCTAGAGTTAATCAGAAATGCAAAAATTAAAGTTCACGGTCCGTGTTGTTGCTGGTGTTGTGACACCATGACCAACATTGAAATTGAAAAATAATATTCCAGTATACGCAGGTATACACAGCAGAAGAAAGCACAAAAAAATAATATAAGACTACCAGTGATTAAGACAGTTTTCACTATGGGAACAAAAGGAAGAAAAAAAAAGTGATCACTAGGAAAATATTGATATGTTACAATTGAAATAACAAAATAACGAAAGTTAAGAGAATAAGTGAAGAAATAAAAGTCCTATGCTTTGTAAATAAATACAGATCAGCTGTGGCTGACCCAAATGGTATGCTGAACGCGCCTCTACATCACTCAAACACAATAATGTGCAAAAGTTTCATCAACACAGATTGAACCTTCAAGATTTGGTGCGAAAGTTATGTAATACATGAATCAACACAGAAATATGCGATGTGGTTCGTGTGTTACACAACCTCGGGGCCCACACTTGAGGCTCAATTTGTGTTTTTTTCGCCAATTGTTGTGTTCCTATGGTACTGAAATGTGTTTAAAACACTTTTTAGGCGAGCTAAATCTGGTCCGGATTTATTTACTTAGCAGAAGTTTTTATTGTTTCACTACTTTTTGTTTGCGTTATTTCCATTATACGAAAATATTTGTATATTCTAGTGTATTTTTTTTTTCCGCTTGTTGCCATTCTTTACAAGTGACTCACTTGAAAGGTTAAATTGATTTTTTTTTTTTTTTTTTTTTTTTTTTT